TTACTTTTCTGTGTTTTGCCCACATGTCTGTGTACTACGTGCACGCCTGGTGCCTCAGTGGCCAGAAGAGGGCATCAGATCCCCTGGGACTAGAGCTGCAGATGGTAGTAAGCCTCTATGTGGGTGCTTGAAATGGAACCCAGGTCATCTGCAGGAGCAACCAGTGCTCTTAACTGTTGAACTATCTATCTCTCCAGCCCCGTGAACGTATTTCCTAAGCCCTTCCGATCTCAGTTTCTATGAGTAAATTAGAGGTGATCATTTTGGCTGCATGATAGTTGTGGCATTTTAATAAGACAAAGTCCTTAGCACAAGGCTGAGCCAAGAAAAGTACACACTAGCTATTATAAGGCCAAAATGAATCTCTGTGAGGATATGTAGAAACAAACCCTGTGCTACCTAAAACAGTTAAACCGGGGAGCCAGAGAGACACTCTGAACTGACTCAGATTAACACTGATGTTCAAAACACAGAAAACTCCCCTGTTGCTTCCTCAATCTAGTCTCCAGCTAATCCTGAAATTGCGTGCAACCTGATGTGAATCAAACCAAAAAGGAAAATAGTAATTACGCTGAATCCAATATTTTATATTTATACATTCGAGAAGAGATTCAACTGCATAAGCCAGAACTGCTACTAAGTTCTTTTTTGAGCACACCCGAAGTCAGTTGCTTTAATGCTGCAGAGACAGGTCCTGGACCTCTCTAGGACCCTCTCAAATGAAACACAGAGAGCCAAATTGCTGATGTCAATAAATTAAGAAATCATAAAATCAGTAAGAAAATCCAACCCACGCCAAGCATAGTGGCACGCACCTTTGACCCCAGCAGTTGGGAGGCAGAGGCAGGCAGATCTCTGTGCATTCAGGGCCAACCTGGTCTATGTAGTGAGTTCTAGGACAGCCAGGGCTACTTCGTGAGACCCTGTTTCAAAACAACAAAAAAATCCAAGCCAGCAGCAAGAGGGAAACGCAAACCTTGAAAACGTATCTTGTCTGATTTACAATAAAATCTCAGTAACTCCTTCTCTTCCCCACTCTGTCCCAACAAAGCATAAGTAATTCCCAGAATCCTTTGAGATACACATGCAAGCATTTTCAAGTGTAGATACATGCTCACAGGTGCTTTGCTCATGAAGATAAATGAACAGGAAACAAAGATTCCAAGATCACAGTGACCAGCACAAATTTCTCATTGGAATCATTCTATGTCACTGTGAAGAGGGACCTTTTACAAGTCCAATAGTATCTTCTGACTAAATGCCACACTCTTTTAGACAATTCCAGCAGGCTATTAGTAAAATGCTAGTTGCTGCATATCCTGATGAGAACAGTTAGAATTCTAGATAGTCTATTGTTTTATACTAACGAACTATCATTACCCATTTAATACTCTAGTCCCAATCCTTTCTCTTTGTTTGTGGTTTCTCTCTATTTTAGTGCTGGGGGTTGAACCTAGGGCCTGGAACATGCTAAGCACATGCTTTACCACTGAGCTACCCCAAGGCCACATTTCTCGTCTCATTCACATGGTACTTGTCGCACTTCTTAGTGCATTCGAAGTCTGTGTGAATGGCTTATCTCCCTACTACCAGACAAGGTGGTGTGTGTGTGTGTGTGTGTGTGTGTATGTGCGTGTGTAGGGGGTGAATTTCCTGTCCTTCTTATTGTCTCTGCAATACTAAGCACAGAATACTTCCCATAGCAGGCACTCCGGAAAGATATGGCCAATAAAAGCTATTACAGACGTTTTTTTTTCTCATAGCATCCCTACTGGCCCTTAGATGAAAAGTACTGGTGTCGAGCAGATGGGCAAGGCAGAACCTCACTTGAAAACCCTGGCAGTATGGTGTACTTTTATTCTCTAACACCCTTGAGAACACATCAGGATCAGATAGATCATCCTGAGTTCAATGCCCAGCAACCACATGGTGGCTCACAGCCATCTGTAATGAGGTCTGGTGCCAACACTATATACATAATAAATAGGTAAATCTTAAAAAAAAAAACATCAGATCAGGGGCTGGAGAGATGGCTCAGAGGTTAAGACAACTGGATGCTCTTCCAGAGGTCCTGAGTTCAATTCCCAGCAACCACATGGTGGCTCACAACCATCTATGATGAAAAAAAAATCAGATCATCCCAACTATGATCTGTAACTGAGAGTCCTTCGGGATGTGGCTTCCTCTCAAAGCCTATTCAGAACTCTAGAAGGCTAAGTTCAAGGCTATCAAGAGTCTCAGTGGTAGAGCACTTGCCTAGAACATCCAAAGCCCTAGATCCAATCCTCACCCTGCTTTCCAAATAAAATAAAAATTTAAACTTGGATTAGCCTAGGGCTCAATGAACTGGTCACCTAGACACTGCAACACTTTGCCTAGAAAACCATCTCTGGCTTTGAAGAAAATCGTTAACTTCTCCCAAGTAAGGTACTAGGTCCAATTCATTTGGACCTGGGCTGAACCCAAGTCTTTACATTGACTTCTCCACAACTGCCTCCCCAAATGGCCAAAATTCTCTGGGGATAGTCCACACAAGATGAGGCTAATGTGTGCAACTGGAGGGGCCAGGGTAATGATAAAGACTACCCCATTTCTATATCACCCGTCTAAAGGTATTTGCTTGGGTCTGTCTGTGTTGTGACAGTGTCCTAGACTCAAATGAATGCCTCTAACACTCCACATTTTTGAGCCATTCAGTCATGCATTTTTGTTATTGTTGAAAGTGGTGCGAAATTGCACTGCAAGAGCTAAAGTCCTTGGTGGTCTTCCAAGGATTCCAGCTAAAAAGGCACTTCCTTTGTTCCTCAGGAGAATGCAGTCCAGTAGGTCATTCAAAGGGGGAAATAAAAGCAGCAGCCCTGGGAGGGAGATGAAGGACAAGACAAAAAGAATAAAATGTTTTGGGTGTGAGCACATTAGCTTCCATTTCCTGCCGCAGGTCACTAGTAACTCCTCTATCTTTTTTTGGGGGGGTGGAGATCCAGATAAGACATTTATGCAAAAATGTACCTCAGGTGTTTTCCAGGGCTGATGACGATCCATGGGAACACTTAAGTGTCCCTGAACTCCTTCCCAGCTACCTTTCCCATTAGATGCTGACTGGGGAAGATGCCCTGACATCTCCTGAGACTGCATACCCCCAAACCTGATGGGGGGGCGGCGATTGGGTAACCCACACCCGAAAAGCCTCCAGTCCATCTCAAAGGCACATACTGTCTGCACGACCAGATGGAGACTTGTCCCTTTCTCAGTAAGGGCATGGCTGCATGCCTCCCTTCAGAACGTGGGAATGACAAGTGTAATCTTCACGGCAATCATCTCTGAAGCACCCAGGCCCAAACTGTGCAAGGCACAAAGACCCCAGGTCTGACCTGCAGAGCCCCCAAGCTTCAGCGACTGCTGGTTCAGTTCTCTGTTACTGGCAGGCCAGGAGGAAGAGGGGGAAAGAAAGGGGGCTTTTCAGAGCACTACAACCAATAAAATCGTGAGGCTGGGAGGACATACTTGAGCTCCCAAAAAGACAGGCGGCTGAAGGGCAAACAACCTTTCATCATAGCGTGTGAGTTACTTGACAACTGCAAAGGTGCGGGGGCCGCCTGGGCTACTTCCAACAATTTCCTCAGTTCTATTTCCAGACGGAGGCCGGTTACACTCTCAAAGTGCCCAGCAACTTCCCTCAATTACTTTTGTAATTTATATGTAATTGATGACTGCACTTAATCTCCAAGGTTATTAATAGCCCTTCCAAAAGATGAGCGCGCCCCCCCCACCCCCCAAGTCTTCCTAAGCCTTTGGAAGTGCCTGGTTAAAATTACAGTATTTCCTTTGCTGGATGCTGGCCCCCCCGCCTGCCCCACCCGGGCAACCAGTACAGCGAGGCAAAGGCGCACTCTGCACACTTCCATGAAAGGTTCGGAATGGAGGTTTGGCCTTCGGGGCTCGAATCTCTAACTCCTCCGTTAGGTTAAGCTGGCCAAGAGCCAGTAAGGTTCGTGGCTCTTTCTGAGCCCCAAGGGTGAACAAGCTACCTGTGCCGCTTCGGGCGCCAACCCGCAGGGCTGAGCGCAACAGTTGGCAACTGCGAAAATCTAGTACAACAGGGAAGGAGGACTCGCCCAGGCACTGCCACCGGCGGGCCTGGAGACCTCCCGACCAGGAGAAGAGGGAGTGAGTACCTGGGGTGCTGCCTCCCCAAGCTCCAGGAGGGCTTCCCCAAACATCCCACGTCCCCCCCCCCCCTTGTGCTGAAATCCGGTGAACTTTTTCAGAGGCAAAGCCATCTTCATTTGCATAACCATCTCCAAACTGAGATTCAGGTTTCCTGTAATCAGTCCTTTCAAAGGTCTGTAATTGAAAGTGCAATTAACCCTTAAAATGAGGTGAGAAGAGAGAAATGGGAGGGAAATACCCTTCTTATCCAACACCTTCCGGAAACCTGGAGACTTCCCAAAAGTTAGGATTTGGAAGAGTGGGGAGTAAAGGAGGGCTTTCGCTTTTTAAAGGTGACTTCTAAAGCCCTTGCAGGTCCTAAAACGAATCCGTGTCAGCGGTGGAAGAGAGGCGGAGAGAGGGGTTTTAGGTGAACGTCAAGGAACCACTCATTCAAGTCGCACGTTTTTTGCGCCCCAAGGAATCTGCAAACTCCGAGAGGTTCCCCCACCCCGCCCCCACTCGGCCTCGTCGTCACCCACACAACAAAGCGGGGAACCCAGTAAGGAATTCAACCCGGAAAAGGCAAGAGAGCCCATGCCACGCACTCTAAGGGCCATAGTCCTTAGTGTCTTCCCGGGACCGAAAAGACTTGGGGGGGGGGCGCCGCCGCAAAACACCCGAGTAGCACTACACAAACCGGCGGCGCCCCTCCACTCGCGGTGCCCGCTCCGCGCCGGAGCTGGCTCCCGCCTGCCGGTTTCACCCTCTAGGCTACCTGGTGTGGCGTGGGGGGCCGCCCCTCTCCCGGGGTGCCCACCGCTCGAAAATGGGGGAGGATTCCCACCTACCGTTGATCTCATAGAGGGGGGCATCGTTCTTGTTGAAGCCTTTGGACACGTAAAGACGTCGCACTTCCGAGCAACTTTTCGACTTGAGCTCCGCAGCCAGCAGCGAGGCAGTGAGCGCGGCCAGGGTGCAGAGAAGCGCGAGCAAGCCTAGCCTTGCCATGGTGCGGACCCGGGCAGATGCGCTCCCACCTTTGGGGAACAGGATAAGACGGGATGGGAAGCGGGGCTGCGGAGCGGGCGGAGAAGCGCGGAGTCAAGGACTCACGAGTTGAGCGAGGACCGAGGAGTTGCAGTTGGTAGCAAAGAAGGAAGAGGAGGAGGGCAAAAGGAGGAGACGCGGGCGAAAAGTGGAGCTGGGCCTCGCGGCAGGCAACGGTCCCCGGTGCCAGGCGCCCGGCCGGGGTGGAGTACAGGGAAAAAGGCGTGGAATGGGTGCAGGACCCACGGGAAATCGGTGACCTCGGGGCTCCGAAGGCTAGAGATCCCGGGCCAGTTGGCTAGGGGCGGAGGGGCTCAGGAAAAGAAGGGAAGGTGGCAGGCGTCGCAGGAGAGCAGAGTGTGGGCGGCGTCGGCGGGTGATCGCTGGCGCGGGGCTCCGGCTACCCGGCGCTGCTCCGCTCACCCAGCTCGGCTCAGCTCACAGCCCTCAGCCGCACGGTTGTGCCCTTCTCAGCTCTGCGGCTGATTGACTGGCCCGGCTCGCGCAGCGAGGCTCCGCAAACTTGGCCAAGCGGGGCGGCCCTAGGGAGGGAGGGGGCGGGTACAAGGTGTCGGGGGGGGGGGGGAGCCCGAGACAGGCGGGAGCACGCTGGGCCGGGCCGGGAGAAAACCTGGAAGCTGGGTTGGATCCGGAGCGGGCCAAATCCACTTCCTAGGGGGCCCGCACGGGGCGCCCGGCACTCCCTCGCGCGACACGCCCTGTTGGACTCCTCCCTCCTGCCCTCCTCCTCAAGAGGCGGGGAACCTCCCCCCATCCCCCCACCCCCTGCCCGGGGAGGAAAGGCCAGTTTCTTCCCGTTTAAGAGCCCAAGACCCGGGGATCCTGGTGGCCTGGGTCTTGGAGCCTTCAGCCCCTGACTGAGCCACAAGCCTTTCCCCACAGCCACCTGACAGGCTGTCCCCGCGGGCCAAAGCAGCCCCAATACCTGCCTCACTGTTGCCACCCGGCATCCAGGACCTCTCCTAACCAGTGCCTGGGCAAGGAAGGCACCCACTCACGTTACTGGCATTGTTTTGCTCCAAACAGCAGAGGGACTTGAAACTCGGAACTGGCCTGAGAGGCTCACCTACCCTTCCTGGACCAGCCTCCCATCACACAGTGTTCACTCATAGAGCACAGGCTTGTACCTAACTGGCAGTAATTTTCTCAGCCCCACAGAATGTTCCCTTTCCACTCGTGCCCTAGGTTTTGCAATAAATATAAACAAACTCTGAAACTGGCCAGAAAAAAAAAAATATATGAACCTTGAGTAGATGTTCTCCCAAGTTTGCTTGGGAGTACTTTTGCTCCCACGCTGCCCTATGGACGTGTTAGAACTGAGGCTCCACAGAGAGAAGGAAAATGCACTAATTAGTACTCACCTAAGGGCAATGGGTCCAAAACCCGGACTCTTGAATGGGGGTCCATGGCAGTCACAGGGAATGAAAGCCCAGGATCTCCACTCCTTCCCAGTCTCCATTTAGCCACAAGAAAACTGGGCATGGGTGAGTCTTCCCACCTTCCAAGCTTTGTCAGATTCCATTAATGAGTGTTTTTGAAGCTCCCAGGGCTCCTTTAATGAAGGGAACCGTGCAGATTGTGAACTTGTCATTACTGTTGTTATTGTTACAATCTGCTTTAAGAGGTTAGGGTGAGAAGTGCCTCAGACACCTCGGGAGTGTGCTGGGAACTGGGCAGATGAAAAGGGCTGGAGCTTATTATTTGGCTAGACTCTCAATTCCCATAAAATTACATAGGGTGAAGATATGAACCATCATTACAATTATCTCCCTCAGAGGGTTTGTTGAGACTTCCTGCCCAGCTCTTTGTAAACCTCATTGACATGGTTGTCCACTAGGAGCCATAGGAACTAGGGGAGCTGTTTTGAATGCCCACTGCAGACTCCGGTCTCCGTTCATTATATTAACTCTCACACACCAGCAGCATGAACAGACACACACACACTGTACCTGTCTGTAACTGAGACTTCCAATTTCTTGTTGTTTATTTGCTTGTTTGGGACAGGGTTTCTCTGTGTAGCCCTGGCTGTCCTGTAACTCACTCTGTAGAGCAGGCTGGCCTCTAGCTCACAGAGATCCGCCTGTCTCTGCCTCCCAAGTGCTGGAATTAGATGTCTACACCACCACACCCAGTTGGGACCTTCAATTTCCGAGGTCTGGAAATGCATTTAAGTTATGCAAACTCAGCTCCACTAAATTTCCCGTGATTTTCAAGGAACTTTCGAACAGTCCAGGTAATCCTTAAACTGATAACCATGGGGTCCTCAAGGCCCTGCTAGCGCGTAGCTTTCATTGATGTGTACTTAAAGGTATTCTTCGCCAAGTGAAATATGATCTGAGACGCAGCCAACATTAATAGTAAAATGAAACTCTGAGCTGGGTATATGGTGCACACCTATAATCCCAGAAGGTGTAGGCTGGAAGATCAAGAATTCAAGAAGCGCCTCGGGGACACAAGGAGTTTGCGGTTAACCTGGGCTACACAAGACCATCTTTCAAACTAAAATGAAATAAAATTCAGTGACAATAAGAGAAAAGGGGATTCTCCTAAACTATAAAGGGGCAGTTGGAACGCTGCCTCTCAGAAGAAGAGAAATTCTTTTTTTCTTTTTTTGCCCCCCTCAAGCGACTAATGCTCTTCCTCTTAGCTTGTTATTAGCCAAAACTTGAGCCTTTTCTACCAGAAACAGTAACCTCTGGCTACAGGCAGATCTGGACAAGTCTGAACTTTACCAGAGAAGGCAGGAACCCCAAGCCTTGCTCTGGGGCGGCTCCCACTTCAAAGTCTCCTTTCATTTAAATACAAACAGGGTGAACAACTGGCAATCTATGAGACAAATATCGCCCAGAAGGAAACTTTTCAGATGGCCCTAGTTCCTTATCCTCTCCCCCTCCCCCACCCCAGCTCTCCAACAGGCTGGAGACGCACCCATGCCGGGTTGGGGGAGAGGGTGGTAGTGGAGGGTGCAGGGGGAGGGGAGTATGTGAGCCCCCTGCTACTTCGATTTGCTTTGGTTTTCACCTTTTGAAAAAGACTATGGGAAAGAGCTCCTTGAATTTACCATTTTAACCATTTGAATATATACAGTTGAGGGCTGGGGAACTAGCTTAGTTTGGGAAAGTGCTTTGCCATGCAAGTATGAAAAACTGACTTCAATATTCAGAAACAATGTAAAAAAGCCCAGTGTAGTGGCACACATTTGAACTCCCAGTGCTAGGGAGGATGCAACAGGATTGCCCGTCAGCTAAGCCAAATCAGTGCTCTCTGAGCTCTTAGGTCCCAAACAGGGATCCCGTCTCACAAAGCAGGGTGACTTGCTCCTGAGGACCAGCACCCAAGGGGGACCCCTGATCTCCATATGCTTCTGCACACATACAAACACAGCTGCACATGTACACACAAATAAGATACACGATACACAGTTCGGTCACATTGTGCCATAGCCTCTTCCAGAACATAGTCATCATCCCGCAAGCCAGCCACACTTTGAGTACTCCACTTGCCCACCAAACCGGCTGCCTTCCTGTTTCTAGGGGACATTTTGCATGAAGAGAATTATACAACGTGGGGATGTTTTTGTCTGGCTACCTTCACTCAGCATCAAGCTGTCTCTCGGGGTCCACCTATGGACTAACATTTCAGTATTCCCTTCCTTCTTCAGGACATGTTCTATTCCGCCACACAGACATACCGCAATGGTAGCCTGCAGCGCCTTTCGCTTTGCAAGATGCTGCCTGGTTTACCCTCATAGCTGAAAAATGTAGGTGTCTTAGGGGCTTAGGATGCAGCTCAGTGATAGAAGGTATGCTTAATAGATCCAAGGGTCTGGTCCAACTCCTGGCATCCCTTCAAATAAGGACATTTTGAATTTTGGGGTCATTGTTTAAATTCGGTCTTTAACAATGTCATACACACACATGCACACACACACACACACACACACTTTACTTTGAACATATTTCTCCAAGTCCCCTCTTATTTGAATTCCCCTTCATCTGAACCTTTTCTTCTCAGTAAGTTCCTCTTCTACTTTCGTGTCTCTGTGGTATGGTGTGTGTGTATGGTGTGTGTGTGTGTGTGTGTGTGTGTGTATGTGTGTGTGCATGTGTGTGCACATGCGCGTGCATGTGTGTATTCCCCCCTCATTTAATTGGGGGTGCCTGCATAGGTGGAGGATTATGGGTGTAGCTTCTGACATTCCTAGGAGACAGTCCCACAGCAAAGTCTTTGTGGATCTCTTTTTAAAAGAGGCAAGGAAACCAAGTCTTAGACAAATTATGTAGCTTATAGCCATAGAGCTCTTTGAGTAGCTGAACTGAGACTGAAAACTAAGACCTCTGTCATAATCCCATGCTATTTTTGGTCACAAAATACAGTGCTCTGGGTTTCATTTAGGGTCAGTGGTAAATGTGGAATTTCCCCCAGATCATGTAGCACTATCCTTGCTTCAGATTAATAACTGATCCTGGAACTCATACAATGTGCGGGATACTGCTTGATTCTAAGAGGAGGCAAGATGTCTTAGCCTGGGCTGACATAGACAGAATGCACTTATAGCATACCTGGCTTTCCCAGGCGAGGGATTTCTCATCTCATGCATAGGGAACGAAGAACACATTGTGCTATCCTCCAAGCAAAGAGAATAAGTTGAATCAGGTTCTTTTGATCAACTGGTTAGCTCCCCACGCCATCAAATACAAAGACGGGGCGAGAAGAAAGAGGGTTCCTTCCCTAGTGATGTTAAGTTGTTTATGTGCGCCAACAAGAATATATCCTTCTCTCTCATGTCAGGAAGTCACCTCACCCTGAGGGGATTTGCCCTGTGAATACAGTGCTGTTCTTCTCCGTTCCATGGGTAGCTCTTTCAGGTTCAGCCACAGGTTTCTAGAAAGCCTGCCTGGGGATCTCCAAGCAGAAGCAGCAGCCAGCCACTCCTGTCTCTAGACCTTGAAAGCAAATAACAGCCAACCTTGACCCTCTGCAATGTCTGAGAATTCTTCGCCACAGCACTTCCAGGAACTACTCCAAGAACTACGCATTTTCCCAGGGAAAGAAAATACCCCATTTGAAATCTTCTGGTTTCTCAAAGTGAGCAACTAGTTTAGAACTGTTAAAAGATTGTTTGAGGAGGACTGGGGATGGTAGCTCAGTCACTAGAGTGAAGCCCTGGGTTCGGTATTTAGCACCCCATAAACTTGGATTGGTGGGACGTGTCTGTAAGCCCAGAACTTGAGAAGTGAAGGTCAGGAGAATCAGAAGTTCAAGATTATCATTGAATGATTTCCAGACCAGTCTGCGCTGCAGGAGACTCTGACGATAGATAGATAGATAGATAGATAGATAGATAGATAGATAGATAGATAGATAATAGATAGATGTTTTTGGACAAATTCAGCATATCTTCAGACCAAATTTCACCCAGTAGCTCTCTCTGTCCCTTGGTTCTTCACCTTTCTGAGCAAGCAAGCAAGCTATACTGTATGACTACTTATTT